TACTTTGGAAAAGAAAGAATCTACTGCAACCGAACCATTCATGTGTAAAAAGGAACGTGGTCGCCTGTAGCAAAAAAGAGACCCACTATTCTGGCTGTGATGTGATCTGGAACTTTGAGTGAAATCAATACAACTGATAAATGTATTCACTATACTCATGAAGATGAAAGAGACACAAATCAAATCTTTCTGGGATTACATGTGCCTCTATTAGAAGTATTCCTAATAGAGCAAAACCCCTTTATTGGCGATATGTTTCTAATAAAGCAATATGGTACACACGTCTTCATTTGAGATGTGCTTTCAATAATGCAGACATATACAACACATAGCTTATACACCTCTATTAGTGATGTGTCACTGAAGGCTGGTTTACGCGAGGCAATTGATGAGGTGCCCTCCTGTGTATAATACATATGTGTGTCTAAGATGGGTCAGGCAATTTTGATTGACAAAATTTTATGACTGTTTTCCCGACAACTAGTTGCCCATTGCCACAGTTAATAATTGCCTTGTGTAACAGTCATTGAGATGTTTCTTGCGTTACTTGGTGCAATGTCTCAAGAACTGCCTTAATGTGTAAACTGACCTTTATAGTCTAAAGCAAATCTCCATTTGATATGCAATTCTAATATAGAAAATATTGTGGGTAATATGTACAAGCTTTAACTAGAAAGCTGTGGTTCAACACAAAATCATGCATATTTCAGGGTTCATTGAGAGCATTTTTGATTGGCAGTTGACACCAATTTGAAATAGTCATAAAATCCATCCATGCACATCACTTCACCAAACAAGTATTTCGTTGGCAGGTCATTTTGTTGAATGACGGAAAATAAAAGTGTTGAAGGTTGAAATTGTTGGGATAATTATTGTAGATAATTAGTAGTAATTTTAGCCCTAAAGTAACCAAAGTCAACTTTTGCAACTTCCACCCCATATTTATAATTTGTTTTCAAAAATGTTAATTTTGTGCAAATAACTAAAATTATGTTAATTTGGTACAAATACCAAAATTTTAGTACAATACACAAAAATGCATAGTACCGGTATGTTGCACCAACATTTTCAAATTCATTGACTGTAGTAAAAATTACAACTTTGATAATTAAGAACCAACCACCTGTTGCACAGAAGTAAAGCGTTTTTCTGCATCTGCAGCAAAGCAGAGTATTCACTCTATCAAAATCATATCTCGGATAGAGGATTGAAAACATTAACTTTATTTATGGATGGTAACCTACTAAGCGCAAGTAGCTAATGTACTTTTGTTAAAGCAAACAGTTTATACTCACTCAAGTATTGATGAAGTAAAACTTGGATATTGTTGTAACAAGCACATTATTTTATCAACACAAGTTCTCACTCACCAATAAATTTTTTTGACAACTTCTTCAAACAATATATCCATAAATTACCAAGTAAGACTGAAATAAAAAGTTACATTCAAGCAAATTTGTTCGTTCCCCATTCTCAGAATTTTCCATTTTTATGCTAAAACAAGCAGCCTGTCGGCTGAGATAGCTCCGCTGTTAGCAATGCACATGGCAATTAAAGAACAGAAGATATCATTAGAAAATGAACAAATCTGAGAGAGGTCCACATGTAGTACCTATATGTATAATATATCAAAGCAATTGGACTTGCAGTTTTCAACAAGAAGTCGAAAATATCACTTTTTACCAAAAATGACAAAAATATTCATCAAAATTAGAGAATTAAAGATATCATTATGAAATGAATAAATCTGAGAGAGGTCCACATGTAGTACCTATATATGTAATATCAAAGCAATTGGACTTGCGGTTTTCAACAAGAAGTCGAAAATATCACTTTTTACCAAAAATTACAAAAATATTCACCAACATTAGAGAATTAAAGATATCATTACAAAATGAACAAATCTGGGAGAGGTC